AGCCAGCTCCCGGCCTCTGCAGCGCCTGACCGCGCGCGCCCACGCCCTCCGCCGCGGCGCAGGCCGCAGGGCACGGCCGGCGGCGGATCCCAGAAGGAGAGGACGATGGTGAGCGTCTTCTCGTCCGGCGTTTCGTCGTTGGGTTCCAAAAGGGAGGGCCGGAGGGGGAGGGGGAGGGCCAGAGGCCGGAGGGTCTCGTCGTTTCGTCGTTGGGGGAGGGCCGGAGGGTTCCAAAAGGGGTTTTGGGGGAGGGGGTTCTCCAGAGAGCCCCCCCAGGGGCCTCGGAGCCTCGTCAGAACAAGGGGTGCGGAGCCCCTGGGGGCCCCTCCTATACAAAAAACCCTCCCCAAAAACCCCCTTTGGCACCCTCCGGGAGGGGGATGGGGTCTGGCTCCGGACCTCTGCTTCGTGCGACTGTTGGCAGCAGTGCGTCCTAGGGGCGAGGCTCCGCCTGCCCAAGACAGGCTCCCGAAACGGCCAAGATCCACCCCATGGGGGGGGGAGGAGGGGGGCACGAAAGCCCGCGCCCAGCAGCAAAACAGTGAGCAAACACCGATCGCATGACGATGATGGCAAGAAAGCTCGCGGTGTCTAACCGCACGCACACATATACACACACACACACACACCGGCCGCACGCCCGCCACCACGGCGCAGGCCAGACTGCACGGCCAGATGCGGTACAGTCGGGCTGCTGAAAGAAGGAACGATACACAAGGAACGAAGCTCCAGGAAGGCTAGAGGAAAAGCCATAGAAGGACCTAAGGAATATCGAGCCCCTTTCTTACCCAAACTGTTCCTTATTTCAGCGACTTGGCTGTATCCAGAAGGGGAGGACGCTGATGACAGAGGGGTGCAGGCGGAAGGGAGGGGGGAGGTGTGCAACAGGCTCGTGCGCGCCCCTGGGGCCTTCGACTCGCGGGCGCCTTCGCGCTTCGCTGGAAGAAGTGCGCAGCACGTCTCGCCCTCCTGATTCCTCATCCTTGTCCTCCTCCCCTGCTGCCTCCCCTGCTGCTTCTCCCATTCTTTTCCTTTTACATAACATCTCCCTGTCGCACCACCAGGCGTGTTGGTAGGGCGGGCCGAGCGTCATATGTTTTGTTCTAGCAATGTGGGCCGATAGCACATGAAGAAGAGCTGCGAGGGCACCCGCCTGTATAGCTAGCACCATGCTTCGGTGGGCTTAGCCCTGTGAGACGACGCCGCACTTGTCGCGAAATCCTTCTCGTGGACCGACTGCCCGCAAGGTTGCACCTTAAAATGCAAGCATCCGCCCGGCGCACTCTTCTCTGGTCGGTCGACAAAACGTGTGCGTGTCGGTACACATTGTGCAAAACTCCATCAGATTTCCAACTCGCTGTCGATATCGGAATCGATATCCATTGTGTATGCGTGTTTGTGCGCGCGAAATGCGGGTCGAAACAAAATATCCCCCCACATGGGCGACATCAGACGGCATTATGGGAAACCAGCTTGACTGTACATCCGAACAAACGTTGAGGAAAACGCACGCCTGAATGGCTGGCGACATGCTTCGGCACGATCAACCATATGGCACGACGTCGCACTTGTCGCGAATTGGTAGGGCGGGCCTGGCGTTTCGCCTGAAGCTTCCTCACCACAGCCTCCGAGGGGCGAGGGGAATGTGTACCCCCCTCTTCTTTGATCGATCTCCTCCCAGGTGGCCCCAAGAGAGCCCAAAGGGGCGCCCAGCACCACCACGGAGGCGCCCAGCATCACCATGGAGTCCCTCAAGAGGCCCCCAAGAGGCCACCACGAGTCACCACGAGGCACCAAAGAGGCTCCCGCCAATAGGCCCCAAGGACAACCAAAACCTCTCCTCCTCCTCCTCCTTTTCCTCTTCGTTTTCCTCCTCTCTTCTTCGGGGCAATCTGATCTTACGTTTTCCAACCCATTCGGACATATGCAAACTCCTCCCCCCCCCCTCCCCTTCCCCCTCCTCCTCCTCCTCCTCCTCCTCCTCCTCCTCCTCCTCCTCCTCCTCCTCCTCCTCCTCCTCCTCCTCCTCCTCGTCTTCATCCTCCCTGGTTCGGGGCAACACGAGCTGATATTTCTCTAAACTCGTTCGGAAGCGCATTGGCAGGATGGTTGTGCAAGAGCCCCTCCCAGACTACATAGCCATGGCAGGTCAACATTTGCCGAGGTGGACCCCAAACTCTAAATATTCCCGCCCTTCCCGCACCACCGAAAGGCATCCAACGCGGCTGTCGCACTGTATGTTTCTACGCTGCCCTCATCCAGGCAACTCACCTGGTGATCGTGTCTGGATGGTCTGGTGGGGATATTTTTTTTTCAGCAGCCGCGCGCGAAAGCGCACACGGGGAGTCGAGTCAGAGCGGGCCGCGCAAAGACGAATTACCTAAAGCGGCGGGGCCTCAGGCGTCACCACGGCGGGCGAAACCGGCGGGTGGGGGTGCAAGCTGCGGCTGCCAGGGGCTGAGCCAGGGCAGGGCGCAAATTGGCCAACCAGGGTTGGGTCGCGGCCAAAATGGCGCGGGGTGCATACCAGGGTGGCCAGGGAAGCGGCAAGCCAATGTCTGCGACGACTGCAAAGCGTGCCAAACGGCCCGAACTGGTGCATTGAGTGGCGCCACCAAAGTCGCGCACTCGGTCCCCAAAGGGAAGCACTGATCCTGAGGAGTCCGTCCGCGAGGTTAGGAATTGCAGAATGTCACTGGTTCTCATGGTCAACGTACCAGAAATCCGCCGATCCGGCGTGTGAGTTTCAAAGAGCCTGAGCTACAGCCGCAGCCTGAGCTTCAGCTCTGCTGGGGGGAGGCTGGGGTGGCTCTGCTGGGGAAGGGGGGGGGGCGCCGGTGCTTCGTTTTCTGGGCGGGGCTGGGACATGCAAAAATCCGCCAGAGTCCCACACTGGGGGCCAGACAGCCCAAGATGACCGCCAGATCTTTCCCAGACGGCTCAAGATGCACCCAAGATCTTTTGAAGGATTTGGGAGATTCGTTCTTTTCAACCTTCCGACGGCCCCAGATAACTCCAAGATCGCCCTTGATCCCAGAGGCCTCCAAGATATCCCTATGACGGCCCAAGATGCTCCGAAGACGGTCCCACGAGGGTCCCAGGACGACCCCATAGGCCCCCAAGACGGCCAAGATCGCCTCCGAGACGGCCCTGAAGCGCACCCAAAGTGCTCCCAGGCGGCACAGCGAGGCGCCCAAGACGCCTTCTGACGGCGTTCGACGGGCCAGGAACGCCGTACGACAGCCAAAAGGTTTGCAAGAAGACCCCAAGAGGCTCAAAGACCCCTAAAGAGGCCTCCTCCTACGACGTCCGCTGGAGGGCCCCAACACGGCCCCATAGGCCTCCAAGCGAACCCGAACACCACCGGGAGCGCCCCGGATCGGCGGCACTGGCTGGAGGCCACTATAACACTGTTTTGGAGCGATTCAGGATGGTCTGGGCGCAACAGACACGTTGATTCGTGGCTTTGAAATCCCTGGAATAGCGTTTTGGCACGCTTCATGATTTTCAAACGGTTGTCCCCCAACGGGACACTTCCCATCACTGAAAATCAACCCTTGTAGGGGCCAGTAGAGAGAGGATTGACTCCAACGTCGTTGATGAGTCCTGGCTTGACACTGGTCTCAGACTCCTCCCCCTCCTCCCTTCCTCTCCGCCTCCTCTCCCTCCTCTCCCTCCACCTCGTTCCTCCCCCCTCCCCCTTATCCCCCCTCTGGAGAAAGGCGCGGGACGGCGGGCACAGAAGCCGCCTAGGGCCGAAGGAGTGCAGAGGAGTGCACGCGAGCCGAAGGAGTTAGGGCAACTGGGGGCGCGAACACAGGGAGGGAGGGAGAACAGGGAAAGAGCCAGGAGCCCTCCCCCCTCCCTCTCTTGGCGGCGCGCAGAGGGGGGTGTAGGGGAAGGGGGGGAGGCTTCTTGGAAGGCGGCAGCTTCTTAGGGGGCGCTGACCTTCTTATCTCTAGAGAAAAGGCCCGCGCCTTCTAAGAAGCATGGTGATCCTAAAAAGCCTCCCCCCTCCCCCCACCCCCATCTGCGCGTGGCCGAGGCTGAGCGCGACGGCCTCACAGCAGGCGGCTCAGCGCGCGTGGGCACGCGGGCCCCCCAACGTAATTACAATGATGATTCGTTTTGTTCCCAACTCTCCTGAGTTGGGTCATCGTTTTGAGTCGAGAGCTGTGGTGTCCACCTCTCACGCCTCCCTTCTCCTGCCTAGCCCCCTCCTCCTCCTCCTCCTCCTCCTCCTCCTCCTCCTCCTCCTCCGCTTACCCCCTCCTCCCCTCTGCGCGTGACCAACTTTTCCTTCCTCCGCCTCCTTTCCCCCCCCGCGCGCGCGCGGTCTGGCGCGCGCCCGCTCTGGACAGGGCCGCGTCCCACACGCGCGCGGCCAGGGGCCCCGGGACCGCCGGTCCAGAGGGACGGGGCGGATGTGGGGGAGGAAGCAAGCTCGGAGGGGCAGGGGAGACTCGGAGAGGCGGAAGAGGAGGAGAAACATTTTAATAATAGTAATCGTGATAATAATCGGACCAGTAATGACTGACTACTACTACTACTACTACTACTACTACTACTACTACTACTACTACTACTACTACTACTACTACTACTACTACTACTACTACTACTACTACTACTACTACTACTACTACGAATCATAATACGAATCATTATAATAATAAAAATAATAATAGTACACATAAAACTAATAATACAAATAGTTAATAAATACTACAAAGATAATAATAATAGTAATAATACTAATAATAGTAATAATAATGATATTGATAATAAAAACACTAGTAATGCTAAGATGAATAAGAAGCAACAGGAAACATACTGGGAGAGGCAAGGGAGACTCTGAGATAATGATGATGATGATGATGATGATGAGGAGGAGGAGGAGGAGGAAAAAGCAACGATGATGAAGAGGAAGGCGAGGAGGCAGAGACCCAGACGAGGCCAAGGACGCAACAGGAGGGAGTGTAATTGGACGTGGGCCAGGGTCAAGCGGCGCTAGCTCCCTGGCAACGACAGCCACAAGAGGCAACGAAGGCAGCAGGAGGGGATGGAGGAGGGGGACAACGGGGGAGGGGAAGGAGCAGGAGGGGGGGCGAGGAGGACGCCGTGCTTCTCGCTTCTCCCCCCTGCCTCCCAGAGTCTCGTCTCGCGCGCCGCCACCGCCGAAACCCGCCCCGCTCTGCAGGCGCTCCCGCCGTCTGCTGCAGGAGGGGGGGGAACGGCGGGCCGCGCAGGTGTGAAGGGGCCCTGAAACACACACACACACACACACACTCACACTCACACTCACACTCACACTCACACTCACACGCACACGCACACACGCACACACGCACACACGCACACACGCACACACGCACACACGCACACACGCACACACGCACACACGCACGCACGCACGCACGCACGCAC